TTCTTGAAGCAGGGTACCATAAATGCTGCAATTAAAGATGGCTAACCTTCAAAGGGAATGGAACAGATGAGCACGAAGAAGCACTCTCTTTCTCGCGGTTGTCAATTTGGTTATCCTTTCTTCACACTAGGCTCTAGGAACCCCTTCAACAAGGCGTACTTAACTTTGGGAGGACGCATTGTTTGCATTTTGAGAGCTCATCCTGCTCGTGTCTTGTTTCCAGCCTTCTTGCATTCGCTATGCTCATGAAAGGGTCGGGTCATCGCAGATCAACAAAATCAAACATACAAGGGCGTATTTTCTATGTATATTTTATCTTTTTTTTTATTGGTTGCTCTGTTAGCATTTTGAGTCTGCGTCTTAGGTCCTGGCTTGTTTCCTGTTCTTCTTTCGGTCGTTTCCACTTCAAGTTTGCGATCGGTCCAACTCTCCGCTAACGGTGTGCGGATTACTATTCCCTAAAAATGCTCCCGAGACTACATCTTTTTTTTTTGTGTGCAAATATTGAAAAATGTATTTGAGAAAACGAGTAGGAGATACCGACAAATCAAATTAAGGTAGAGTAGCAAATATTCAGGATCACACATATCTGCATGGTTCCAATATTACTTCCAAACATAATTGAAATACAGAATCATGTGAGACAGGCACAAATGTGCGCATTATAGACGCTTTCAGCCAGTTAGTTACTCGAACTGCCACCAGTCGGCGCGCCCTTCGCGCGCTTTCCGGGCCGCCATAGCCGACCCTCAGTTTCTCGCCGTTGCTCCGGGTTGTGTGATGTACAGGCCACTACCGAAGCTTCGTTTCCGTGTTCTTTTACGTTCCGCGTTGAAATCTTGTATTTTCTTTAGGTCTTTTCGATATTTAGGACTTTCATTTAATAATTTGATATTTATATTTCGACATAGCTCTTGTATTTTCTTATTTATGGAATGGAATCGGACAGCAAATGGGTGGACGATACAAGATTATGAGGCTTCAATGACCATGTAAGTTCATCCCATTCTTACGTTTTTGTCGCTAATAAAGGACAGTCAACACTATTGCGACATATGTAAATCGCAACTGACGCAGTAAGGCTATCACAGTCGTGCTTCTCGCTGCATGTGCACGCTCGTTTCCGTAAAGCATGTCAGCGATTTAGCGTGCGACAAGACGAGCGACTGAGATTTTTTTTTTTTTTTTTTTTACAAATACTGTCGTTCGTCGCATCGCTCGTTTATTTTGGGGGTTTTTAGAAAACGTCGCTCACCGTCTTGGTCGCTTGCTCCGTCACTTCCACGCGGTTTGCCTCGTCGCGCGACTGACTGAGCGACAGCGAAGCGGGTCGCCGTCGCTTATCTGGTCGCTCGCCAAATCGCTTACATGCGGTTTGTACTCGATTAATTTCCATGCACACAGCATTGAACCATTGGCGCCTCGATATTAAGTATAAACCGCATGCAAGCGATTCGGCGAGCAACAAGACAAGCAACGGTGACACGCTTTGCTGTCGCTCGGGCAGTCGCGCGACGAGGCAAACCGCATGGAAGCGACGGGAGCAAGCGACCAAGACGGTGAACAACGTTTCCTAGAAACCCCCCCCCCCCCCCAAAAAAAAAAAAAAAAAAAAAACGAGCGATGCAACGTGCGACAGTGAGAAATCTTCGTCGCTGACTCTCGTCGTTGCCGCCGTCGCTCGTCTCGTCGCACGCAAAATCGCTTACATGCGAGTCGGCTTTACGGAAACGAGCGCGCACATGCAGCGAGAAGCACGACTGGATTGCCTTACTGCGTCAGTTGAATTTTGCATATGTCGCATTGGTGTTGACTGCCCTTTATTAGCGAGAAAAACATTAGAAGGGGATGAACTTACATGGTCTCTGAAGCCATAATCCTGTATCGTCGATCTATTCGCTGTCAGATTCCATTTCATAAATAAGAAAATACAAAAGCTATGTTGAAATATAGATATCAAATGAAAAAAAAATGAAAGCCCGAAATATCGAAAAGACTTAAAGAAAACACACGATTTCAACGCGGACCGTAAAAGAACGCGAAAACAAAGCTCCGGCAGTGGCCGGTGCCGCACACAACGCGGAGGAACGGCGAGAAACTGAAGGGCGGCTATAGCGACAGGGTCACGTGACGTCAAGAAGGCGGCGCCCATGAAATGTTGCCTGAAAGGGTCTATACACCAACTCATGTTTGGATGGATGGATGGATGAATACGGCTGAGCCCTTTGGATCGGGCGGTAGCTTACGCCACCTAGCCATTTTGTTTTACCATTTAAGCTTAGAATATTTAAATGTGAAATCTATATTCACTCCGCAGTGCAAAGAAAGTGAGGCTATGAAACCCCCTTGCCATCAGTGGATAAGAAAATACCTAGTTTTCTCTCGATTTCTGCCACCATTCACTTAATCTTTGCTTGGTAATCTCTACAGTCTTGAAATCCACTCTCCCTTCGCTGTCTCTAAAACCCAATGACTTTATTAAATCTATGTTGTCTTCGGTAGGCATAGGGTGAAGCCCTTTACAGTAGAGTATCAAGTGCTCAGCCGTCTCGTCCTCCTCTCCACAAGCAGTGCACACTGTATCAATTTCCTGGTACTTCACTCTGTATGTTCTGGTTCGCAGAACACCCGTTCTTGCCTCAAACAGCAATGAGCTTCCCCTAGAATTGTCATAAATGCTTTCTTTGGCAATAACTCTTTTGTTTAATCTATAGCTTTCCAGAGCCGTCTTTGTCTGCATTCCCTCTAGCCACCAATCTCTTTCTGTGGCCTTAACTTTCTTCTTAACTGAGACTTGCTCTTCCGTATCTTCGCTATAGCCCAAAAACTTTCCTCTTAATTTCCTAGCGCGCTGTCTCCACTTTGTGTCTACACTCCTCATGTAAAAATAGCTGAAAACCTTTCGTGCCCATTGCTCCCCGTCCATTTGCCTCAACCTATCCTCAAATTCTACCTTGCTCACCGCTTCCCTGCTCTCAAATGATGCCCATCCCATGTCTCCTTGTACTCCCTGGTTTGGCGTTTTGCAATGTGCCCCCAAAGCCAGTCTACCTACTCCGCGCTGTTTTATTTCTAGTCTCGCATGCACTTCGGATTTCATGCATAGCACTGCGTTTCCAAAAGTCAAGCCAGGCACCATGACCCCTTTCCAAATCTCTCTCACCACCTCATACCTGTTGTAATTCCAAAGTGCTCTATTTTTCATTACAGCTGCATTTCTGTTGCCCTTACCTATTATATACTTTTCATGGTCTCTGAGATATTCTGCACCATCACATATCCATACTCCTAGATACTTGTATTTACTATCAGTAGAGTCGATTGCTGGGCTAGTTGGTTTTGGAATTTGGAATACATTTTAGCGCTCAAAAAACAGGGACAAAGAGGCGAGAAACAGACAGCACAGTGCTGTCTGTTTCTCAGCACAGTGCTGTACTAGCTCTCTAGTACAGCACTGCAGCACAGTGCTGTACTAGACAGTGCTACTAGTACAGCAGTGCTACTAGTACAGCACTGCAGCACAGTGCTGTACTAGCTCTCTCAACTGTAATATTCTGTATCTTCAGCCTCTCAACTTCATCCTCGTTAAAAATCATGACTGCCGATTTTTCGCTACTGAATTCTAAACCTGATTCCTCTCCTTCCCTACCACAGATGCTCATTAATTCCTGCAACTCTGTCCTGTTGTTAGCCATTAGTACAATATCATCCGCATACATCAATCCCGGTAAGGATTGCTGAATTTTTTGGCCTAGCTTACTGTAAGAAAGGTTGAACCCAAGCCCACTCTTCTCTAGTCTATCCTCCAATCCTCTCAGATACGCTCCGGTTTACAAACAAACCGGAGCGCCCCTAGCGGACGCCACCGGCGCCGCGCATGCGCGATGGGGGTGTGGGCAAGAAGCCCGCCGTCGCCCATAAACAAACCATTGAAATGCGATGTTGTCGGCGTCGGTGTGAGTCCCCCTGCTTTTTTTCGCGTTCGAATTGTTGATTCTACGTCTTCATGGCGATGTCTGACTACTTGAGCGGCGTCAGCGAAATTACCGAGGCTCGTTACACCGCGAAACTTCGCGTGAATAATGTGACATGTGGCGATTCATTCCGCGTGGACGCCGCAGTATGTACGCTAAAACCTGATTCGCATGATGAGATTTCACTCGCAATTTTCAGTCGCGACGCCGCTCGGGCTGCAAAAGCATGAACCGTAGCTGAGATAGTCGACGTCGGTACTGAAAATCGCAAGCAGAATCGGACCAAGTCAATTAGGCATAGCAAGTCAGTGATGGTCACTCGTAACAATGATCAACATCTGCTTGTATTTACTGTTTACATCGAGCCTGGTTACCAACCTTCAAACTTAAGTCTTTTGAGACCTGTGCTTACTTCGTATAGCAAGTACCGGGCCAACGTTTAATCTACGGGCCGGCGTCGTCTAAGAGAGCAGACGACAAGCAGAAACGTTCGAAAGAGCAGACGACAGTTCGAACGATCAGGCGGCCGTTTGAACTTGAAGACGCACTGAACGTAGTCCGCAGGTGGTCCGCACAACTTGATGGTTTTCTGTCGTTCATGTTGGAATAAAACAAATAAATCTGATGATTACAATATCCGTGAATTTAACTCAAAGTGCTTCCCGCCCAAGCAATCGTTGTCCGACGGCGTCTGCTTTTCCCTTTTCACGGCACATATCCAGATTTTCGGTCGAACCGAGCACGTGAAAACTGACCTTCAAACGTTTCTCGTCTCTTTTGGTACGGCCCCAGTCCCGGCGTTTTGACGAGAAGGCAGGTTTTTGGCTAGTTCCCTTCAAAACAACGCAGAAATACACGTCTGGCATGGGGACTTCTGCCCACAGCCCCAGACCGGAAGTGCGACCGACGCGCCACCACCGCGCCGTGACGTCACAGAAATGAGTTGGTGTATAGCAGTGCGAGTGCGGCTTAGACAGACTGCTCGTATATCTTATACAAAAGGCGGGACGTTCGCTGTAGACATGTGTGACAGAATTATTTGCGTGCACGCCTTGAGCACGCTCGAAGCAAGCTTGTTTCACACCCACGTATACTTCAAACATGTATGCAGACAGTGCTTGTATGACCGGTGTAAGACCTTCAATGAAAAAACACGCCTCAGACAGTCCTTTGAACGATGTATTACCAGCGGAGCGGCGGCTTTATGCGTTGGCATTCATTTGAAGACCTTTCCAGTCAGTGGAAACTAAAGAAAAGAAAAGCGGGGCGTGACTTTTTTCTTTTACGTGGTTCGTGATCGGTTCATCGGCGCTCTTCTAGGCTGACGGCGAAATCTCACTGTCGGCGATAACAAGAATCTCTGGATTCGCCACGCCGTGCGCCAATAAAGCAGTCATTTCAAACATGGAGGTCCGCCGAGAGTGAAGACTCGCGGCGCCTCTATGGTCGGCAGTGCAGAGAAGCCGTAAGGGTTCGTTCGCTCTTCCCTGTTCGCGCTAATGCCTTCAGGTGACCTCTCCGATCCGGGTTTAATGATGTTGCTGAGAACATCCTGGGTGTCGCGCTTGGTCAGGATCTGCCAGCAAGACGGGCCCTCCACAAACTCCAGAGGAGTCAATGAGAACGACCGAAGCTCCGGCAAGAACGGTCTCATGGTCCTTCGCAGAGCGGTGATCGGAGTCTGGTCGCTCGCTTGCGAGCAGCGCACCGTCGCCCATGAGTAAACAGCCTCGACGACGTCGCATTCTCTTAACCTCAAGCAGGGGTTCTTCAATGTTCTCAGGACGGTTCCCTCCGATGCGGCGATGAACTCCTTGCCCTTTATAACCTGTCCAGCGTTCTCTTTCAGATGCTTGTCGATGAGACTGTCCAAGGTCTTGGTGCTTCCCTTTGCTATCGTGTACTCCAAGACGTAGCAGACGTCGGCTGACTGCAGTGACGTTCCGAGGAACGCGTCGCAGGCTTCCACAAGCCTCGAGACCCGGAACATTTTAGCAGCCGTTCGTGTGTGCAGCGCTTGCGGAATGTTGACTAAGCTGGCGGCCTGGGTGTAGAGGTACCTGGAGTGAAAGCGAATCGAACCACGTTATTAAAGCAAACTTATCTAGGATAAATTCTTATAACGACATTTCAATCTTTCATTTGTAGTGATTTCCCGAAGCACTAGCGATTGCTGACAAGCAAAACCACTGACGGAAGCGACATACTTTGTCGCATACCTTCCCTGCTACCACTACAATTTCGGATTAACTTTTTTTATAGTGACTTCTACTCTATCATGCAAAAGCACTAGTTTTTGTCCCGAAGTAGTTAAAGAGAAAGAATTGAGGGCACATCGAATGCTCTTCCGGGCGACGTTTTCAGATCAATCAGTTGACAAGCTCCACGGAAAGGCGGCATTCGAAAACGGTTATTTTCTGTTGCTTTCAACGTTACTATATCAGAATGAGCTCACAGACTTCCAAGAACGCTAGGCGCCATTTTGGTGCGCGTCTCCCCGGTGGCGTTTATCACGCTATCAGCGCCCTCTATGCGCAGAAGCAACGGAACCGATGGAACGTGGGATGCGCACTGCCTGCGGTGGAAAGTGATTATTTTGTTGGTGTTATGTTCGGGCTAGTTCACAAAGACCCCTTTCTCTTACGTTACGTTACGTTATCAGAGATGACGGCATGCTAACGCCACAAGTCAAAGTCTTTGCTTTATAGTAAGTGTGGCTACCACGCTGGAGAACCCTAGGATGCTGGGTTCAATGCCCCCCGCCCACTACGATATGGATGAACATCGTCCCGGCGTGCGGTCGTGTATCACTACTGCGTAATGCACGTTAAGGACCCCAAGCCAGCGGTTGTACCGCACTGGCTAAATTACTCATCTACAGCTGAGACACCACACGCTCACTAAGGCAGACTAACTTCCGGTTGTATAAACACACACGCACCAATATATTTTTTTCTGTGTGTCTACCAGTTTAAGGAGATTGCCTGGCACCCGATAACCAAGACACGAATGATTCGCAGACATATACGTAACGTAAGAAAGCGGTGCTGTGTGAACCAGCCTTTAAACATAAAGTTTGCGCAAGCGTTTGCGCAAAAAATTGACAACAGGGGTGGGCAAGATACTTCGAAATTGCATCTTCGATACCGATACTCGATACCCTCGAAAATTGTATTTGAGATACCGATACAAGATACAGGTGCAAAACTAATCTCCGATACAGATACTGAATACTGTATTTTAGATACCTCGATACATCGCTAAACCCTCATCCGAAGTACTTTAAAATGGGTGTATCTTATTGCTTTAGATTAATTAACAAAGGTATTAGTTGAATTCTTGTCTTTGTTATATTGCGTCTTTTTTTTTTCAAACGTTTACACAAACGTACAAACCTCCGTAAAAATATTGCAGCCAAGAGAGCAGCGAGGTATAAAGATACACGCTATTTCAAATCCACAGAATCTACCAAACCAAAACCTTCTATCTATAATTGAGTTTTAGTCCCCGCAAGTTTTTTTCAGAAACACGGACTATGTGGTGTTAACGAGTTATAGTAGATCGTGTTTTCAGGGAAAGATATTTGTATTGGGAGCTCGCGCTGCCACATCGAAGCATGCTCTGAAGCGCGCGCATGGCGTGGTATCGATCCAATGAAAACGATATACTGAAACTCCCTACTGTCGCTGTCGGGGGCTGATGCTCGAAAAACAAATACAGGCATTGAAAGAATCAGGAGAGTGTGTTGGTTAAACATTCATGAGGAGGATTTAGAACGCAAGTAAGAAGAAGGGACACACAGAAATATGAGACAGACATGGCAGTCGGTGTCTGTCTCGTTTTCATATTAGTCCCTTGAGTTTACTTGCGTTCTGAATCCTCAAGAAATGACAGACACTTTTAGATAGACGTACAAGTAGGCAGCAATTTAGCACCATGTTTTGCGTCTTTTCGTTCTGGTCGCTTTATTGTTATATTGTCGCGCAAGAGCTTGCTGCCGTTTTCGCCGCCCTGGCGGTTGAAAAACCCTTCGGTCACGATGGCACCCGTGGGACCGCAGCCTTAAGCAGAAGCATTTGCTCAAAACGCCGGTCTGAAAGTCCGCCACGATGCGGGCGTAAGATTAGCGACGCGAAGGAGAACAGCCGTTCTACAGGAGCCGAGGAGCACGTTGGGGTGTTGTATCTAATGAAGGCGCTTCTCAGAGAAGGGTATGAGCGGAGCATATCGAATTCAACTCGAGGATCTTGCAGGTAGCTCAGGAACTCAAGTTTGACTTGATCTTCCTGACAACTGGGGCTCGTGCCGCAGTGAGCTTCAAAAGAAAAGAATGCATCAGCCGATACGTCAGAGGCTGCAGAGGTTGATGGCGCGCACGCCAAAGGACGCGTGGTATGCTTGGTTGCATTTACAAAGTCAATTACAGCTTTTTCTGTGAGTTGCTGGCCATGCTCGCGGACATCTTGAGGTTCTCGTGACAACCACCGCAACTTAAAGTAAGGGTGAAGAACAGCAGCAACAGTCGCTTCATTTGCACTTGGTTTCATTCGCAGAAGCTCGTCAAATCTGCGAATGAACCCAGATGTAACCGCATCCAAAAGTGGTCTGCAGTAGACGAAGTCCATGCCAGCCTTCTTCCGAAGCTTTGATTTTACTTTAAAAAGCGTTGGCAGCAGCTCCCCGAAGAAGCAATCGGACTGCGCTTGGAGTAGCGTCAGAGCGGAGGCGATGGGCTGCAGGATCTCACAGTACTCGGCAATAAATGCTAAGTCTCTTTCTTGGAATGTCTGCAGATTTAGTCCATCGCAGACATCTCGCAGTTTATCCTTCGAGCGAAGGAGGTCTTTCATGCTGTCATACAATGAATTCCAGCGTGTTACGCATGGCGTCTTCAGAGGATGCCCTAGGATGTCCACAATAACTTCAGACGACTTGGGTCTTCGAACGCAGTTCCATAGAGCCGAACACTTTGACATGACCGATGTGTTAGCACGTTCAAAGGACGGTGTCGACAAGGCTGCCTTCGCATCTGAAGTTGCCACAAGACTCGGCGTGTGACATGCGCATCGAAGATGACGAGGCAAGTTGATTTCAGCATCGTCCAGGTGTCGGGTTCGACCATAATTTCAACGGACAAGTCGGCGGTGACATCATCTGCCAGTTAAAAAAGGAGCACATTTAGCCGAAATACTTAAAACAGCACTCAAGATTACATGTCTGGAAACATTTTACGGTGAATAACACATATTCATAGAAACTAAAAGAAAAACAGTTGTACAATAATCAAAAACACTCTCGTTTGCATTAGCTCCAGTGGCTTCATCTTCAATTATTTGTATTGCGTATCAAAAGAAGAATTATATGTATCACAAAAATTAACCAAGTCAGCTGCACCAGACAAGAGGAAAATTAGAATCGGTGCATAACATGACGGATATTTTTCACACTTCTTGCATTTGTAATCGCACGTTACCCACTTGGGTTTAGGTTATTGAGACAGACGTAAATCAGTCCTTAAAAAATCTGAAAAAATGTTTGATAATAAGTACAGCATTACCCTTACCCTGGTCAGTAATCTCAGAACAAAAGCCGAACTCCCTGAAGGCTTTGGCGAAGTTGCTGGCGTTGTCTGTGACCGTGGCTACGACCTTCTCCCGCGAGATGTCGAAGGACTGCCTAATGTCTTCCAGCATTTCTGCTATCCTGTCGTACGTGTGGCTTCCAGGAAACCTCCTGCAGGCCAGTGCGAGCGACCTCCGAGAAAGGGTGTCAGCATCGATCTAAATAAATATACAAATATTATCATTCATTAGTTACTTAATCATGATTTTCCACAACTTCTACTTTTTAATACAGAATATGTTATAGGAATGGCCTCAGGCACTTCCGGCGACGCCTTCTAGGTAACGAAGGTGCGGAACACGAAAATTGAAATATAAAAGACACCGGCAGCGCTCCGATACGAACCAGCGTCCCTCAGATTATGAATCCGATGTCTTAACTACTAGGGACTTTTTTACGAATCTCTGACCCTCATACTGTGAATCCGATGTCTTAACCACTGTACTACCGCTCTATGAGGAAACCATATGCTTCGATTCACCTTATACGTGGGCGAAGCATAAAATCTACGTGACCTACGCGTTCCACTCCCGCTCGAGCGCTACTTTTGGCAGGGCTTTCTTCCGGAGACGCTGTTTCCAGCAAGCTGATGGAAGCTCCCCAAAATAATGCGTACACATTCTGTGTTACCACTGCCTTTGCCACGGTAGTGAAGGAAAGGGACACATTTTGTTTTATTCAAAACACAAAGCGCTTACCCAATGAACCGTGACAACCATGAAGCTACGATGGTGAGTGGACCAGATGTCAGCTGTGGTTGCAACATAGCTTTGACCAGACAACTTCTCTCGCGCGTCATCCAGAAACTTTTCCCATTCCTCATCAATTCGCCGACCTAGGGAGCGTCGCGACATCACACTAGCCCCTGGGCGCAAGCCTAAAATAGAAAAAGAGACAATGTGTAATTATAATGCAGTCTGATTTCGCATAGAATTGAAAGCTCACCTGTTACAAGCTGTATGAAGCCTGGCTCTTCGACTGTCGATAATGAATGCAACCCATCCACAACGAACTTGACGATCAGATTGTCTACTTTAGGCTGAGTCAGTTGACTCCCGGGAGGGCAAAACAGTTTCGTTTGGCGCATTTTGTCAGCAGGGGCGTCGGCCTTTCTCTTGACTGCTTGTTTTCTCCACCCTTCTTTGTACTCATCGAACCTTCTTAGCTCTTGTGGATGCACGCGCTGAAACAAAATAAGTATCGATTAATTATATAGCCGCCACACAAGTAATATCACACAAAGCGTACTTCCGTAAGCTATGCAAATGCACCGTTTTGATACATAAGACAGCACTGAAAAATTAGATACATATAGATACACTCTGTTCGACTCAATGCATTTCTTGGCATGTTACAAGCAAACAAAAAATCTAATTTATGTTGATTCTGCACCTACCTTTAAGTGAAGCTTGAAATTCGAGGTTGACGAGTAGGCGCCACAGATGGTCGCTTTACAAAACGAACAGGCAGCCTCTACTCTGTCGTCATTAGATGAAATCACGGTAAAATACTTCCCGTCCAAGATGGCATAGCGAGGAGTATTGTCGTTGTCTGCCATTGCTAGCCCGTCGACGCGGCGGAACAAATAACGTTCAACTCCAAGACTGGGACTGCGAAGTGCGCACCATACAGTCCGAAATATTGCCGCGCGCGCAGCTGGCCAAGTAGGCAGCGCGCGCGTGGCCTAACGGTTGTCGCGCTTGCCTTCCACGCAGAAGGCCAAGGTTCGATTCCTGGCCGCGGCTACTAATTTTTGTTGACACTGTAATGTGATGTTCTAGTGAATTCGAGAACCGCCTTGCTGATTCGAGGTTACAATGTTCTACGCGCCGAACCTTCTACGCCGAACGATCCAGAAACCCACGAGGGTACTTAAGGGATTCCACAAGGCGAGCGGGGTCAGTCTCGCCCCAGCGTTCGACTCTGCTGTCACGCCGACTTCGACGCCCGCGACGCTCTGTTATTACCTTTTGTACCCTTTTTATTTTTGGCACAAGTTCGCCGAAATTAAACGTTTATTTCTTCTGTTTATTTCTTGTTTTTGGTCACCACCCGTGACATTTTGGTGGAGGTGCGGGGTAACGCATGCCCCTGCCGCGTACCCCCCCGCGGGACCGCAGTGCAAGTCCGACGCCAAGCCCACGAAGAACCAACGAAGGCACTACCGAGATCCGGTTCAGTCGTAGCACCCAAGGCCTACACCCGGAATTCGGACTTCTGCCGCCCAGGACCAAGCAGCCAACGAAGCCGACGTTGGCCAACCAGTCGCCGACCCCCGCCGCTGCTGCCGTCGTCTACCTGCCCGCCGCTCCCCGTACGCCGACTCCCTTCCACGGCGAGATCCACGAGGATGTCGAAGACTGGATCAAGCACTACGAGCGTGTGGCGCGGCACAACGGATGGACTGCGGAGCAGTGCCTCCAGAACCTCTACTTTTCGCTGGAGGGTACTGCGAGGTATTGGTTCGAGAATCACGAGGCTTCGCTTACTTCGTGGGACATCTGTGTGGCCGAGTTGCAGCAGACGTTCGCCACCCTACACCGACGGGAGAAGGCAGAAGATCTCCGAATTCGAACGCAGGGCCCCGACGAAAGCGTCACAAGCTTCGTAGAAGATGTCCTCCACCTGAGCGCCCGTGCCGACCCACGAGCCACTGACGACAAGAAGCTGCGGGTCCTCATGCGCGGGGTGAGAGACGACATCTTTGGAGGCCTCGTGCGCAACCCGCCGGGCACCGTCGAAGCCTTCGTCACCGAGGCGACAAACATCGAGCGCGCCCTCCAAGCGCGCGCTTCCCACTACCAGCGACATCCAAGTGTCGCTGCAACCGCGCTGCTTGGCGGCGAGAACGCTCCTGGTACGGACATGCGCGAAATTATCCGGGAGGTCGTCCGGGAGGAACTCCGCCAGTTGCTGCCAGCCGCAAGTCGTCCAGCGACGCTCTCCATTGCCGAGGCTGTGCGCGAGGAAGTACAACGGGCGCTCCAACCAGAGATTCCCGTCACCACGGTGGCACCGGAGGAACCGACGCTGAGCTACGCTGCCATAGCCCGACGACCGCCGCAAGCGCCCCGCCAAGCCGCGGCGCCACCCCGAAGAGACGCCCGAACGCCGCAGTATCCCCGACGACAGGAAGATCAGGCGCACGTTCACCCAGACCGACCTGCGCCGAGGAAGACAGACGTCTGGAGGACGGCCGACCGACGCCCGCTGTGTTACCACTGCGGGGAAGCTGACCATCTGTACCGGCGATGCCCATACCGACAACTCGGGCTGCGTGGATTCCACCCAAACGACCCACGCCCCAGGTATGGTGAACGCCCTCGGGAGATCGACGAGTATCTGCAACGACCTCAGTCCCCCGAGCCTGCGTCCCGCCGAGAGTTCCGGTCGCCATCGCCGCGACGTCCAGCTTCGCCGATGCACCTACCCCGACGTGAAAGCCTGTCGCCACTCGCTCCTCGCCCGGGAAACTAGGCACGGCAACCCCTGCAGGTGGAGTTGCCGAAAACGACCGACGCCAAGATCCTCCACAAACGTCGGAGGGCCCCCACTCGAGCGCTACCGGAGACCGAAACGACGCTCCTGAAACGGTGTCCAACAACCTGAACGTCATCATCGACGGCCACGACGCATCGGCACTCGTGGACACCGGAGCAGACTACTCAGTCTTGAATGGGAGGCTCTCCCGCCGCCTTCGGAAAGTCACGACGCCGTGGGATGGACCTCAAATACGAACCGCCGGAGGGCACCTCATCACACCAGTCGGGAGGTGCACTGCTCGCGTCGAGATCCACGGTGAGACGTGCCCTGTGAAGTTCGTCGTTCTGCAAGACTGTTCGAGGGACGTTATCCTCGGAATGGACTTTCTCTGCGAGTATGGCGCCGTCATCGACCTCGCTGCAAACCAGTTGACGCTTCGAAAGCCCGTCGTGCCGCCGGTGGAGATCAACACGACGTCAACCGCGATCCGAGTTACCGCCGACCATGTGAACGTACCGCCGCGGTCGAGTGTTTTCGTCACCGTTATAACCGACGCAGCCGTGCACGGTGAAGCTCTTCTGGAAGGCAGCGTCCAACTGCTCCTCGAAAAAGGAATTGGTGTCGCAAGAGGCGTGACGGATCTTCAAGAAAGACGTACAACTGTTCTTGTGACAAACTTTCGAGAGGAACCGCAGCACCTAACGAAGGGTACCACCGTGGGCCACATCGAGGAGCTTCAAGCGCCAGCCGTGGTCACCGCAATCTCCGAGGAAACCTCGTCGCCACAGCAGAAGAGCACGACGCCGCCGCCGCTCGACATCGACCCCGAGCTCCCAGCTCCGAAGCGCCGGCAACTGGTTGACCTCCTCGCCGAATACAGTGACTGTTTTGCCACGACTTCGAAAGTTCGCCAAACACCAATGGCGAAACATCGCATTATTACTGACCACGACGCACTCCCTGTCCACCAGTCACCGTATCGAGTCTCCTTAAAGGAAAGGAAAGTGATTCAAGATCAAGTTCAGGAGATGCTCGACGACGACATCATTCAACCCTCAAGAAGTCCATGGGCGTCCCCAGTCGTCCTTGTAAAGAAGAAGGATGGGACCCTGCGGTTCTGCGTGGACTATCGTCGACTGAACGCTGTGACGAAGAAGGATGTTTATCCGCTCCCCCCGCATCGACGATACGTTAGACCGACTGCGCCACTCCCGATATTTTTCGTCGATGGACCTGAAGAGTGGTTACTGGCAGATTGAAGTCGACGAGCGTGACCGGGAGAAAACTGCCTTCGTCACTCCCGACGGACTGTACGAATTCAAAGTGATGCCGTTCGGACATTGTACAGCACCAGCCACCTTCCAGCGCGTCATGGACACCGTGCTGGCAGGTCTGAAATGGCAGAGCTGCCTCGTCTACCTGGACGATGTCGTGGTATTCTCACGAGATTTCGACGAACACCTCAAACGACTTCGAGCCGTGCTTCAATCCATCAAGACCGCCGGCCTGTCACTCAAGCCAACAAAGTGCCGGTTCGCTTATGGGGAACTAAAGTTCCTCGGCCACGTCGTGAACAACAAAGGTGTCCTACCTGGCCCCGAGAAGACCGCGCCGTAGCTGCATTTGCGCCGCCGTCTGACAAAAAGGCAGTAAAAAGATTTCTCGGACTCTGTGCCTATTACAGGCGCTTTGTTCGAGACTTCGCCAAACTATCCGCACCGCTGACACACCTCACGAAGGACGTCGTAAAGTTCGAGTGGACAGAAGAACACCAAAGGTCATTCGACGAGCTCAAACGAAGACTCCAGACGCCCCCGATTCTTGGCCATTTCGACCAGTTTGCTGAAACCGAGATCCACACCGACGCCAGTAACACCGGACTGGGTGCTGTACTAGTCCAAGTGCAGGATGGTGCAGAGCGAGTTATCGCATACGCGAGTCGGACGCTGTCTAACGCGGAGACGAACTATTCAACGACTGAAAAGGAGTGCCTCGCTGTCGTCTGGGCAATAACAAAGTTTCGCCCATATTTGTATGGAAGTCCTTTTCGCGTGATCACAGACCACCACTCGCTCTGCTGGCTGGCGAATCTGAAGGACCCCTCCGGACGCCTCGCTCGGTGGAGCCTACGGCTGCAGGAGTTCGACATGACCGTGGTGTACAAATCCGGCCGGAAGCACAATGATGCCGACTGCCTGTCGAGGGCCCCAGTCGAGGCCGGTCCTTCCTGCACCAAAGAGGACGACGATGAGTGTTTCCTCGGCGCTCTGGATGTCAGCGACATGGCAGCACTCCAGCGAGACGACCCTGAACTGCGAGCACTCATCGAGCACCTAGAGGGACAATGAAGCGCCGTTCCGCGCGGTTTTGTACGGACACTGCCAACCTTCTCCATCCGACAAGGTGTGCTCTACAAGGAGAACTTCAGCGACAACAGCACGGCGTGGCTGTTGGTGGTCCCTTCCAGTCTTCAAGAAGAAATTTTTCAAGCCTGCCACGATGACCCGACGGCGGGACACCTTGGTTACAGCAGGACTCTTGCCAGGATACGCGAAAAGTACTACTGGCCCA